TTTTTAGTTAAAAGGTATTAAAGATAAAAGGGTAAAAATGTTCAAAAATATAAAAATAACATAGGTAAAATATCATTCTGGCCAAAAGAACTTTTTCAAATGATTGGGTAATGCTAAATGACCAGAAAATTTGGCTAGAATTTGGCCAGAAAATTAAAAAGTTTATAATATCTTTTTTATTTTAAAATAAACTAATCTTTTTCCCATTTTTTAGTTAAAATGTATTAAAATTAAAAGAATAAAAATGTTTAAAAAGATAAAATAACATAGGTAAAATACTATTCTGACAAATTCTGGTTAAAAGTCAAAGGGAGACAGATGGTTTAAGAATTATCATATTGAATGAGTGAATGTTGATGTGAGAAAAGTTGAAGATGGGGGAGAAATGAGCATGCATGGGAACATTAAGTTTGCTGTAAAAGAGCTGGCGGATAGTTGGAAATTAAATGTGCAAAATTGCGTTGTTCTATGTGCCACAATTTAAGTGTAAACGAAGAAGACGCGTACAATTACTATGCACGAGGATAAATGATGGCTAGGATTGTCGTGGTTCTTTCATTCTTAATTAAAGGTCTCGAATGCGAGTTCTCTATCGGACACCGGGTGAAAAACAATAAAAGAAAAAGATAAATGATGGATCTTTTGGATCTCTCTCTTCTTGACATATTTTTCCATTAATAAATTACGCGGTTAAGTAAATATTTACTAGTTAATTAGCTAACATAGCTACAATTTGTATTAATTACAATCGGAACTTACTTCTAGCTATAATTGCAGTCCTCTCTTTCTCTCTCTATCTCTCTCTCTCACTCTCTCTCCTCCTTTTTCAGTCATCCCTCCCTCGCCTCTCTCCTCTCCCTGTTCCAGTTACTCTCTCTCTCTTGGTTCTCTTCTGTTCAGTCTCTCTCTCACTTTATAAAAACACAAATTATACAAATACAAATGTATAGTTTGTGTTTGTATAAAGCGAGAGACTGGATATACAAATACATATCTCTCCGCCCTATACACTTATAATTATACAAATACAACTCTCTCCCTGCCAGTTCTCTTGTGCCTTTCTCTCTCGCTTTATACAAACACAAATTATACAACTACAAATGTATAATTTGTGTTTGTATAAAGCGAGAGAGAGACTAGATATACAAATACAAATGTTTGAACTCGATTCAATTGTATACGGATACACATTGATTGCAGATACAAATACAATCATTGATATATATAGTAGTTACATATATACAATTATCTAACTGATATACAAATACAATTCACCTCTCTCCAATCTCTGCCCTCTCTCTTCCCTTTAGCATGTAGGTACGAATTGTAATTAGAAAACTATAACTATGGAACATAATTAAGTTATTTTTTAGTGGCTATATGCGAAAATTCCTCCCTAATAGCTATGAAAATTTGGAACAGGTTAGTTTGGTCCAAAACCATTAATTGGAGTCAGCCCAACTATAAAATTCAGCCCAGAAAGGAGGTTCAATTATCATGTTTGCTGGGAAAGAAACAGCGACCCAATATGAACCATGTCGTCTAAAATTAGGAAAATCAAATTTCTAACTCATTACTCATTAGCAATGTAATCCTTTTGACGTGTTGGTTGGACTTTGGAGTTAAAAAAGAAAGAAGAAGAAGAAGAAGAAAAAATGAACTCAAAATTATTGTCCATCTAAATTGCTTAAATTAAAAATAGTTAATAGATATATAATTAATACGTATTTAATATGCATCTAACTTTGTATATTTTATATATATCGTTAGCTACGAAAAGTAAACAATGAATCTAATTAGATATTTATTTAAAGATTCTTGCGAACTAATTAATAGCCTGTTTGACCAAACTTTTATGAAGTAAAAAATGCTTATTCAAAAAAGTAAGGTGTTTGACCAGAATTTTGGAAGGAAATATGTGTTTCGATAGTAGCAGAAGTTATTTTTCAAAAGTTAGAAAAAAACAAATTTCTCCAAAAAAACAAAAAAAACTTAGATACACTTTATAAAGCTTCTTACTTCTGTTTAATGAAACCCTTTAGTGACAACATGTTATTGTCTTGTTTCAACCCATAGCTATTACATTTCCTCCTTTTGTCATGTCATTTAAATTCAATGAATGAGTAAACAACAAAAGAACGTGCTAGGGAAACAATCAAACAACCCCGTTTGAACAGTATATGGTAACTGCTAAAGAGAAAATAATTTAAGTTATATACGTTGTCGGTATAATTTTTTTTTAATATTATCAAATCATCTTTACTTATTATAGTAGTTTATGTGTCTTACTTTGAAATTACAAATCTCATATTTTACAAAGATATAATAACATATATATAAAAATTAAATTTACTGACACTTTTTCTTTATACTAAATAATATATATATATATATATAACTTAAACTCAAACAAAAAAAATACGTGAATGCCATGTGCGGGGAGCCTTAGAGAACATGGGATTTGCACATGTGATGAGATATGGGACTTAGGAGCAGACAATACTTGCCCAATTCTAACGGTTCATCAGTCAACACTTATCACCGGCCCACATATTGTTTTAGGTTTAGATAGTTCACCTTAAATTCTGGTGCATGAACAATTTTACTATGAGCGCCTAATATTGAAAAATAAATTTTTAGTTAGACCCTGCTATGATAACATGTTAAAGAATTGAATCTTACAGGCTTAACTTAATTTTAAAAAATTCACTCATATAGGAGAATTATTTAGATCAAAGAGACTATTCATTCCTTAAATCGTTGAGATGAGGCGCTTCACACATCACTTTTTTTTTGTTAAAAGACTATGAGGAAAAACGTAATATGATACTCTCTATGGTCCAATTTAATTGTTTTAGTATACATTGGTTCGTCAAAACGTATCTCCGCCCATTTACTTCAATAAATAATTCTACATTACATATAAAATCCATATCAACTCAATTATATAGCCTAATATGAGTAAAAAAAATAATCAATTTTAAAATTTCTAATGTTTTTATTAATTTATATGGGAATTTATTGGGTCAAACTTCCAGATTAACAAACTACAAGATGGAATATATGAATCAGAAATTAGAGCGTATTTAACTTATCCAGAGTAATAAATTAATTTACTTTAGACCTTCTGGCCGCGTTTCCAACTACTCCACTCGTCCATCTTTATTTGTCAACTATATTAAAAATAAATTATTATTTTTATTTATTAATTTTAGAATATTAAGAAATAATTTATCACTTAATTTCTAATTTATTGTTATTATATTAATTATATTCATTTCCACTAACGCATTTTTTAAAATATTAAATTTATTATATTCAAAAATGATATAATATAATCGTCACTGTATTTATCGCTCCTTAAGAGCTATGTTAAGCCAATAATGAATATGTTAATATGTCGATAAAGAGTAGTACTTGCTAAGAGTCTTTTCTCAGATTCTATGTTATAGTCTCATAGTCTGTTTAGTTAAATTTATAAAATAATATTTTTTTGAAAAACATATGTTTTAAAAAAGTTTTTTTGTGAGAAACTGTTTGTTTTAAGCATATCAATTTCAAAAGCATTTAGAGGTGTTAATTAATGTTTGATCAATTTTTTAAAAAGTACTTCTAATTAAGCCTGATTTTGTAAAAGTGTTTTTAAAATAATTACTACTTTGGGAGAAAAACTATTCTTTTTATCTTCTGAAAAATAACTTATGCTATTTCTCAAAACATTTTATTTTTTCCTAAAAACTAAGTCAAATACTTCAATTTTTCTAAGTAAATATTTTGAACCTCCCAAAAACTTGGACAAACATATCATATATAGGTCAACCAAATTAATTGAGTGTTCGGTGTATTTAGATCTACTATATACTATTCTCTTTGTATTGAAAAAAAAGGAAGGAGGTATTCTCTTTGTGTTTTATCCCTTTTTGGTTCCAAAAATTAGTTATTCTTGTAATTATTTTTCAAATTATTTGATTTTCTAGTAGTGTATGTTCACTTACAAAGGTATTATATTTAAAAATATAAACTTATTTTCATGTTTGGAATATCAGATCGTTTGCACTTGCTGTAATATAAATATCTTATTTTCGTGAGTTTAAATTTGACATTTTAAAGAGGCTTATTCGTAGGTATAATTGACCTGATAGTATAAGAAAAATTATAGTGACAATATATAAAACTGAAACTCTTAAAGAAATTATATTGTAGTAACAATTTTATTTCCTCTATCAGCGGTTCTCTACAAAGCAAACTTCATGCCATAGATACTGCGTACACCACTAGTCAAAACTTTAGTGGATCGACCTTATTACATATTAATTCCTAATTTTTATCTCATATCATGAAATAAGTACACAATTATTATTATATTGATTCAAAACCTTGCTATTTTTTATTTTTTACGGTGCTTCCTCTTTCTCTTTAAATTAAAGTCCACTACAATCAATTTTACAATGTATTAATCTTTGGTTCTGAATTCACTAAATCATCAAAATTCCAGATAGTCCAAAAAGAAACAACCAAAATTTACATTTAAACAATTGTTTCATATAGTCAAAAAGTAGCAGCTTTCCAAAGAATTTGTGTCGTCCAAGTTGTGACTCTTGTAATGAAAGTTGTCTGCTCTCAGTGCTAAAGCAAATGAGAAAATGATTTAGATAATTTGAACGTATCGATGTAATTTAACTTGTTATAATAGATTTATCGTAGAATGTCTGCCTTCTTTTTTGTAGTTACTAAATTTACATATTTTAGAGAGTTACTTATCGTTATCTTTTAGCAACCCAATTCTGGAACCTGTTCATACTATAAGCCATCGAGGAATTCAAACTTAACAAGGATGGATAATGATCATGTGAGCATACTTCAAAGAAGAAGAAAAAGTTCAATGGTTCTGCCCTTCTCCAAATAACGGGAATTTTGTGCACTAGACTGCTCTTTTTTATGCAAGCTACAAACTATACATTTTTAACTTGGTACTGAGTGAAAAAAATTAGGATGAAGAAACAGAGGAGGATTTCATTAGAATGTAAAAGTGTTACATTCACATTGATGGCTTATTCTTGCAAAACAGAACAGAGTTCAATTGATCCGTAATCCAACAACTCTTCAATCATTTGTTCAATTTGATGATCTTCAAGTGACTTGAATTGTTGCGTACTCTCTGCTTGGCTTTCATAACTTACCGGCATTTCGACACTCATTTGCACATTTCTTCTAGCAATGCCATGATCTCCCCTGTTTCCAAGTTGATGACATGATGATAACTGATTATTTTCATCTTCTAATTTCATCGTTCCAGGTTGATTATTCACCATATTAAGAGATTTCATCTGGCATCGTTGTAGTTTAGCTATCAAAGCAGCAGACAGATACTTAGTCGAGGATGATGAATGAGAATCACTATCATTAAAAGCGAAATTCGTTCGTGCTCTTGGTCCACACATGAGCCTTGCAGCTTCATCATATGCTCGCGCTGCATCCTCTGCTGTCTCAAATGTACCTAGCCATATTCTCGTCTTCCTATTTAATATACAAAAAAAAAAAAAATCAATTTATTGTAATTCAATTAAAGAAATTAAATTGACGTCAAACACTTCAGAGAGAAGAGGAATTACAGTAAAGGATGTCGAATTTCAGAAACCCAGGAACCCCAATGTCGCTGACGGACACCACGAAATCGTTGTTGTAGACGAGCCATGGCGGATTTGGCAGCAACAGAATTTTGATTTAACAAAGTGTTTGTGATAAGTGTAAGAGAGGAAGAAGAGTAGTCCTTAGATAATTGAGGGAGAAAGGCTTTAAGGGGTTTTTGTAAGCGCTCTTTTCGGCCTTCAGCTGGCAATAGACATGGGATTGGGCCCACAAGGCTTTCTATACCTTTCTTTCCTTCCTTCCAATAAAATAAAATAAAATAATTAAAAAAAGAAAATTATCATAATTTATAGTTTATGGTTAGTTATATACTATACAAGATAATATAAAAAAAAAACATTACACTTATTGATGTGGTTTAATAAGTATAGTATTAGAAGGTAAGTTATCATTTTATCAAGTTATTAAGTAAAGATAATTTCAAAGGCAATTGTAATTGCTCTATATTAAGTACTCCTCCGTCTCACTTTATGTGACATTTTTCAGATTTTGAGATTCAAACAAGTCTATCTTTGACCGTAATTTTTTAAATATTGTGAATTGTCAATTATTGTGACTTATAGTACTTTTTACGTAATTTATAAATATATAAATTTCATTTAAAAAAATTGAAAACTTTATACACAAATTTTTTGTCAAACTTAAACTGTTTGACTCTCGAAAAATGAAAAATGTCACATGAGGAAATAACTTGATGGGCAATTATTCGAGGAAATGAGATTTCTTGTTATGTTACAATTTAAAATAGAAGAAACAATCTTTTCAAATAAAATTATGCGAAAATAAAAATCACTTGAAGAAAAGATATAAAATTAAAAATAATTGTAAAAGACTAGACAATTATTTCTAATATTCTTTACATCATTCGCGTATATAACTTAAAAAATCCTAAGTTACTATATACTACAATGATTTAGAGTATTTGCGTATGTAACGGGTTATAGCAACTTATTGTGTTGTTTAAAATATAAAATTTTGATTATTATAGAAAGTTGTTGTTTATATATTGTCATCTTAATTGGATGTAGTAACGTTATGCTATCAATTTAAATAGAAATAAAACTCGTACGAACCAAAATAGCAAAATAAAAAAAAAATAGAGTTTTTATTTTAGTTTTTTTTTTGGGGGGGAGGGGGATAAAGGAGATAGTGCGGACTGTGGACATAATCACATAATATAAATGTTTATATATAGTTTAGTAATCATTTGTATTTTCTTGGCGAAGGATTTAGTATATATCAAAATATCGAAAAAAGAGTACTCAATAATTAACTATTAATAAAAGAAATATAAATAATATATGGAATAAATACTAGTTATTACAAGCGTAACGTGTTTTGAGAATTAGTCAATTACATATGCATGTGTGTGCATGATTGGCGGTATAAATTTACATCCTTTAATACAAAGTAAAATCTTTAATTTTTATTACGTGAATTATTGTTTGTTTTTTCTAGGTCAGCTTTTGAACGTTATTGCTAAATTATGTAAATAGTAATCAACATATAAATAAATAGATAGATAGCAACGTACACTCATGAATGATAATGACTATAAAAAGAAATAGGTGGAGGTACCTTTCTTGATATTAAAGTTTCCTAACATACACAGGAGGAATATTAATATACGTAGAATATATATTATATCATATGTATTTGATTGAGGACATGATTTACATGGCCACATCACATTTTACTAAACATAGGAATCGAAAACTGTCCTTACCTATCGACGTAAGGTCAAGATTTTCATATACGTACTAGGCTACGCGATTTCTCTATATACTAGCTAGATACATAAATCTATGTCAGCATATATGCTCGTTACTCTTTTTTATGTAACAAATTAAAAAAGTAGGCTAGAAGCAGACATGTCGATGAACAGATGCATAAATAACAGACAAAAAAGAAAAATAAAACAAGCAAATTGAATCATAGAGAGTATTGAATTTCCAGAAATATATAGGCTAGAAGCAAATATGTCGGCGAATAGTTACATGTCTCTAGTGTGTAGGTACGCAGCTGCAAAATTTGACCATCGTTTATCATATATATGAATATGACCATACAAGATTACGCAATAGAAAGAGTAAAATGAGGATGTTGACATGCATGTTAGGGGAAATCTGTTTCCTCCAAGTTATATATTCAAGGTTAGGTCATATTCCCACATGCATGATGCAGCAACGTCATATATATCACTTAATTTTAAAATGGCAATTGTAAATGGGAGTTGTTCTAGATACTCCTTATAAAGTAGTATCAAGGTTCGAAAAAAGATACTCCCTCTGTCTCATTTTATGTTACACTTTTGAATTTCGAGATTCAAACGAGTCTATTTGATTATAAGTTTTTTATAGATCTTTTAAAAAATTTGAATTATCAATTATTGTGACTTATAGTACTTTTTATGTAATTTACAAATATATAAATTTCATATAAAAAAAAATTCATGCGCAAATTGTTAATCAAACTTAAATTGTTTGACTCTAGTGGCAGCGAAGCTTAAGTCGGTTCTAGTATTTTTGTCACTGCACAAGGAGGCTGCTTTGTTACTGGACTTCCAACACAAATTTTTAATGTTTAATAGATTTTTTCAATATAATATGAAATCTGTGTAAAAATTAATGAGTTTCGATCAAGAACCCCACCCAAAGCCCTACCATCTACATTTGTCCCTGATTGGCATACTAAGTCATTAGGATGGCAATGGGGCGGGCGAATGTGGGGCGGGTCGGTTTAATACTTAAAGTCATGTTTCTTTGGCTGAAGATGGCAAGTTGGGTGAATTTGGACCAAAAACTCTGTATGCTCATCAATATGCGCGTTTTTATTATTTTGCAAGTAACGAGTTTCACTTATTATGATTATCAAAGGATGTGGTACAGTGGATGAGATTGTTTATTCCTTAATCAGATTAAAGGTCTCAAATTTAATCTCTAGATATGAAAAAAATCCTTCGTAGGGAGCGTTACGTTACCCTCCCCCACCCCACCCCACCACCTTGAATATGTTCCTTTCGGGGAGAACTCAAATTAATCATAGTCGGGTATCAAAAAACCAAAAAAAAAAAAGAGAAGGGTTTCGCTTATTATGAACAATTGCTTGTAATTAGTTACTTGTCATTTAAATTATAATTTGCTAATATAAACAAGATACATTATTCGTAATGCATGTTTATAGAAGTTAAATTCATAATTCATTTGCTCAACTCGTATGGATCCTTCCATGCAAATGAAAGCAAAAAAAAAAAAAATACAATCAAAACAGTGTTTATGAATAGAGACGTGGAAAGATTCTATTGGTAGAAATGGCATTGCCTTCCTAAAATTTAGAGAGATTAACAAACATGATTTAGTGGATGTCTGCTCTAAAGGGTTATAATGCATGTTTTGAAGCTAATGATTGATGGTTTAAGTGGGACTCATCAAATGATTTGTGTTTTTTTTTCACTTTTACAAATTGGAAAAAGTTAGCAAAGATGGGGTATTCATGCTTCCCATAGTCTCAACTTAAATGTATAGTAGAATCCAAAACTTTTTTTTCTTTCCTATGATTAATGTAGCACGAGTAATTTTAGATTCAACAAAAGGGGCTAAGGCATTCAATTGCTAATCATACAATTCTCTATTTCTTTGGGGTAGAAATTGATTTGCTTTCTGTTTTATTAGGTCATTCTTTGGGTTATCATCACTTCTTACTTTAAACATCTTTTTACAATCCCAAGGCACTCATAATAAAATGTAATTTCTCTAATATATTATACTCTCTTTGAATCATGGTACTTATCGTCTTTGCTAAAAATAAATAGCCAGAAATACTTTCTTCAATCAATTCTATTTGTTCACTATACTAAGCATGCTATACAAAAAATATTTTTTAGTGGTAATAAATTAAGGATAATAGTTTAATTATTGCTAAATATGTAGTTTTAATGGCGATTAACACTCTTTGTATATGTCCCTAAAGCCTTAAGAGACATTGGATCTAATGACAATCAAGTAGTGCCGATAACGACTTTTAACACTCTTTATTAATGTGTATATTTATTGCCGCTAAAAACTATTTTTTTATTGTAATGAGAATAGATGTTCACTTTTTTACTTGTCACTTTTAACATATCAAGAGAAACACTTTTTTTTCTTCTTCATGATTTACCTTTAATATCAATTATTTATTTCCAAATCATTTCTCAAGACCTAAGACAATATATACATCAATTAATATGAGTATTATAGTAAAATACTCATATTAATCATTATTTTTTAAAGGACGATGAAAGACCAAAGTGGATAAGTAAAGTGAATCGTTGGAACTAGTTGTCATTAGGAAAATTTATAAGACATAATTGAGTATATTCTTTATAGTTTGCCCTTAGTGATAATTATTCTTGGAAATAATAGATCTTGAATGATTAGCATAGAAAATTTAAGTGAACAACACATTCACATACTCTATATTGGGATTGCGTAGATTTAATTTTCTTTTTATTTATTGAAGAAAGATTAAAGTGAAAATATTTGTTGAAGAGAAATTAACATTTTAACTGATTAAAGATAATAAATAAGAGTATCATAACAAAATAAAAAAATTACTTAAGGATAGTGTAAGTGTAAATAAAAAATATACTTAACAAGTTAGTGGTCCGGAGGAAACTCATGTTCTAATCTACAATATTATGCGGGACTAAATTTATATTTACTAAATTTATAAGACACAAACTAAGTTATTACGGAATTATAATCCTGAAATTATAATATTGAACTAATTTTATCATGAGATATTCCACCTTATCTCATGAACTAAACAACCAATATTAATATTTCAAGATAAACTGGTTAATTTGACTTACTACGGATATTATATATAGTTAGTAGTTCTTCCACCTCAATTATTATGACACTCCTAGTGTTTTAATCAATTCCAAAAGAAAAAAAGTATACAATTCATGTTCAATCAAATAATACTAGACAAATTAAGACATGGAAAATATCTTTTAAGTGATCTTACTATCAATTACAGTAACTATTATTTCTGTTTTTATTAACTATGAGTATATGTTTCATTTCGACTTGTCATGTTACGTTTATAGCGTACTTTGTACTCCCTCTGTCTCTATTTATTTATTTACTTTTTCTTTTTAAGTTATCCTTAACTACTTGTCTATTTTATCAAATCAAGAAAGGACAATTTTTTTTATCTATTATACCCTCAATTAATTATTTTGAAAAAGACAAAAACTTTTTGAAAATCTTAAATTTTTAACTCATCAACTTCATAATTAATAGGGGTAAAATGATAAATTTATTATGTTAATCATTGTTTTCTTAATAGGTATGTTAATTCAAAAGTGAATAAATAATTAGGGACAGAGAGTACTCACGTAGAGTAAAACATATGGTAGAATACATGAACCTAGGGTCAGAGTAAAAAAAGATGCCATAAATGGGCAGTAAAAATTGGAAAGGGTGTGGGGAAAAGTAGTTTAATGATGATTGTGAAGTTTTACATAGGCAAAATGATGTAACTCATGCACAAATTTTCATGATGGAGTTCCCCAACTAGTGCTAACTTTCCTCATGGTCTCTGTCTATTTGCCTCAAATGTGTGTCCAAAACCTTTCATCTCCAAAATATTTTCCAAATCTTCATGTGATAATGATGTTACTCCCTCCGTCTCACTTAGTTTAATGTGATACAAAATTTAAGAATTTTTTTTAAAAAAATTATAGTCTGATTTGAGTGATTAATATTTGTGGAGATCATTTCATTAAGAATACATGTGCATATCAAAGTTAAATTAGTAGTACCAATATAAAATGTGTCATTACATTTGGTATTGATTAAAAAAAAATGAGTCATAGGATATATCATAAGGTTAACACATCTGTTTTATTTTTATTTTAAAAAAAAATAATCATTTTTTGTAATTTTTATATTTAAATTATAAGGTGTAGTATCTCTTTGAACTATGATATTTCCGATTTAAAACTTCTTTAAAAGGTCAAGTGATCGATTGAGATAAGTTTCATAATTTTTATGGTGTTGTGAGCTATAACTAAAAATTAGGCTAAAAAACAAAACGGGATTTCCCTTTATTTTATCTTATTAATTATTTTTTTCTTTTCTTATATATTTCGTTTTCCCCTATTATAAAAACAACACAAAATCATGATCTCATAAATTTCACGACATTTAAATTCTTTACTATTTTCTAAAAAGTAAAATCAGTAAATACTTCCCTATAAATGGAAACCATTAAAACTCTAAAAGATATACGTGAAGTTTCACGACTAGCTTACCTTATAGAGTCGCAAATATTAAATTTAGTTGTAAAAAATCAAATATTTAATGATTATTCTGCTTAGGTTATCTTAAAAACAATAAAACTATATGTCAACATTCAAAATGAAGATTGAATCTATACTTCATAAAAATAAATTCATACATTTATAGGTAGAATTTAACTTGTTGGTGGAATACTAGTGAAAAAAGCCTAATAAGATGGAATTATTCTATACCTATAGAGAAAAAGGCAAAGATTGCGCGTGCTTCATAAAATCAGAAAAGATAAGATCAAAAAAATACCAATCATGCTTGTTCCTTTCTTCATATTTACTCCAACTAAAGTTTCCCTTTAGAACAAGAGGGTGTGATCCTCCTCGTTTAAATAAATAAATACATTAATAAAAAAAAGATATGCTAATAATATATCGAAAATGCAAAATTAATTATTCTTAAGTGAATATTATTTATTAACTAATATTCTCTTTGTCCTTTGACAAAACTAGCTAGGGCCTTGGGATGTGTGTAAACAAATTGAAATTTCTTTGTAGTGACAAAAGAAAGGTACACTTTGTGTCAAATAAACAGGTTAAAATGATAGATTATTGACCCATTCAAAATTTGTTTGAACTGGAATGGACTAAAATGTATGTTATTATAATTTAACTTGTTTCATTTTTTATTAAGTTTTAATTATTTTATACTAAATTTTTTTTATGATCGTGGTATTTGGGTCAGCTTTCACGTGTTTAATAGATACCAAGTAACTCTATCCACCAAGGACAGAAGTTAGGACACATGAGAAGAATTAACTAGAGTTTTTTGTCTACATTGAGTTTGAACATGAGACCTCACTTCAGGGTTTTCAACCATTTCATAGATCATGGTCAGACCATACCGTTATATACAAAATAAAACTTCTTTTGGTTTCTCTCTTTATCGTGGCTATATATACCAAATAAAACTAAGAAATGATTGTTAAAAATATTTTGACAAGATTTTTCATGAATCAATAGCTATATATCAGTATAAATTTTAATAGATTGAAATGAGATGAACTAATACGTGAACAACTTATACTTTTCTAGACTAAAATGTGATACTCCTAGGCTCTATAGAAATCATGACTCAGTTATATATCTGAGATTGCATTCATAATATTCTATAACCTACGTTATTAATCTAATACTAACCTATCACAAAGGAGCATAGAACATGATATATGGTCAAAACAAATAATTAGGACTTGCAAAATTGCTCTCTTATAAACTAAAAGGAACAAGATTGTCGCTTTATAATATATAATCTTAGTGTAAAGTTTGATTATTATCTCTTGATAACTTTTAGTAAATTTATTGGTCAAACACATAACATATTGCTTACTAAATTTTATTTCTAGGAAATTTGTAATTATGGTCAATATTTGGAAATCAATAGCCATTCACTTATTCTTGAATAATTAGTTAATGCACTTCTATTAGGACGTATATTATGAGTTGAAACCTTGTTGATTAATGTATATCAGCAGATAACAAAGATAAATACATTGTTTTAAGGCCTATAACAATCTAGAATTAATATTAAATTTCATAATCAGATATTTATTCATATTTAATGTACATATATAAGGTGTCGGAAGAAACTATCATGAATTCACGTCCACTCATAACTTTTATATTACATATTCTACCCCTTTTGTATATGCAAACAATATATTCTTAATTCGTATCATGTACGTATAATATACATGTTTCATCATTCACCTTCTTATGGTACAAATGGATCATTTGTTATTTAACACACGTTCAATAAATTTGAACAGAATATTTGATGTGACATAAGTTTAATCGTGAAAATCATCGACGGTTCAAAACTATTTTTTATAACAAGAAAAATTAAAATCGTCTTTTCATGCAATCAACACCAATTTAAGACTAGCACATGGATAGCTTTTTATGAGTAAAAATATCTTCTCTAAATTTTCTACAAATTGACTCTCATCAATAAATAAATCTTATATTAATTTGAGCTAACTGGAATTCTACATAGTTTTTATGTACTTATATATGCTATTCTTAATTTATAATCTATTTAGTTACCAAATGGAAAAGCTAATGAAAACTATAATGAGAGAAATATGCATTGACAATGTAGAACAAACAAACAAACAAAAAATATCCTTGCTCCTTTTTTGCTATAATTTTCTATTGAATCAACTAGAAGAAATCAATAGGGATTCATCAATGAATATATCCTTGGAATAATATTCATGTTTGGATATATATGTTATAGGAGTACTTGTGGTAAATTACTAAATTTAACACATCCAAAGGCTCTAATCACACGAATAATATAAAGCATTAGTTATACATAACATAAAAAATATATCAAACAATATATTATTAATATACATAGATGATGCATATATTTTTTGCTAATACACTTTACCAAACAATTCCTAATAGCTTTATCTTACATTTTTAATATTTAATTCTATAATTAATTACACTATACTAAGGAGTTCGGAGCGGAAAAAAATTGAGCAAAATTTCCAAAAGTAGGCATTTGGACATAATAAATGTAAAGTTTAGAGAGAACAGCATTTGAAAAAAAGTTGAAAATGATATTTTAGCATTGGAGTTGTGTTATTTGGACATGACTACAGCTTGAGAAAAAGTTGAATTTTTGGAGTTAAAAATGGAAGTAAAAACATGTACATTTAAAATTTTGAAACAAATTATACTAACATTTTTATGTTCAAATATAATTCCATCCACAATTTATTTATGGACAAAATGATCCTAAATATGCTATGTTGGTAAATAACAATAACAATATAGCTTATGAAATTTACGCGTGAAATCTGAAGAGGATAGAATATACCGACCTCGAGGTAAAATAGATTCTATTTTCCATGATTTCTTAGAAAAAGGAAATGACACATATGCAGGATTTTCTCTTTTTATTTTTCTTGAAGAAAATTAAAATAAAATTATAGGGCATCACGTGCTTTCCATGTGACGCCGGTCGGCGAGAGCCGGAAGGACGAGAAGACGATGAAATGAGTGTTGAAAGACTCCATCTCCGTTCTCTCCTCAGTCCCTGTGGCTGCCAGATTCATCAGTGAAGAAGATTCCTCAATTCCTCAGTCCCAATTTACGTAGTTGCGTGCGTCGACCTCTGATATCAAGGTAAATTAAGTTTCAGATTTTGCTTCTGTTTTTCGTTCAGCCTACATGAATTCGATCAAGTAAACGTTATTACTTTGCTTCGATTCGCTTCTCGCAGTGTGATTATTATGCATATAATAAAATTGCTTAAGCATCATATAAATTTTGTATTCGAAGATCAAGGGCTTGATCAACACAAACTAGTATATTTGTGCTTGCTTTTCAGTTTGAATTCCACTTAAAATGATATGAAGCGCCATTTCTCATATTCAATTGGCTACCGGACTCCATTTATTGAATTTGGTTTTAGCTAGAGCTTCTGTTTTTATGAGCTTAATCTAATTATAATAGACAACCACACTCCTGACCAAATTATTGCTCAATCTACAAAAAGAGTTTTCTTAACAGGTAAGTGTTGTTAAGATATTACTAGATGATTAAGCTTCTTTGCATACCCTTCAATCTTCTACTTAATTTACTGATCCATGGTTGTGTTAATTGGATATTCTAGAGCTTATGACTCCAGGATATAGCAGCAGAGTTAAACATTTTACTGTTGGAGGTTTGGTTATGGATTTGTCTAGAGGAAACTGATGTTAGGGGATTGGGTTTAGATAAAATCATTAATGTCTACATGAAGTGGCTGTTAGTGAAGATGAAAATTACATGCCTCCAATTGGTCTGGAGCCTAACAAACCAACTGAAGTAACTTTAATATTGGAAAATTGAGCCTAGAAACAATGTCGTGAGCGTTCTTCAATGGAAATAGGTGAAGTAGTTAAAGCTTTGAACAGAGGGATAAGTTGCTTGGTGCTGTCTGTCCACTCTGAATTTTAGTCGAATATAGCCAAGCGAATGGAACGAATCATCTTGTTTTGATTGAATACGGACATGATAGTTTTGAGTTAAGCACACAGGCGTCCCATTTTGATGACACAACTGAATAAGTATGTGCTTTTAGAGACAAAAACAGCTGAACGTTTAGAGCTGGATCTCAAGCAGCAAACACCTATAAGTGGAAACCAATCTCATGTTAGATGCAGCATTGTTCAGGGGTAGATTTAGAGTTGGCTGGCTGCCTATTGGTATTCTCATACATTCTGGTGTCAGTTGAGGATATTGCCAATATATAGCTGAAAACTCCGAAATACGGAGGCTTGCAACATCTGTGGTGGATCCAAAATCAGAAATTGAAGATTGAGACCTGGAAGCTTGAATATGTATATTGTTTTATGGAGAAGTTCCTTGGAGGAAGACAGCGGTTCAAGTGGTATGAAGTTTCTCTTCAAATACTCTAACTACAGATTTTTTCTCTTTCCCTCCTAATTGTCTGGAAATTTTAGCATGTTGAATTCCGAACTTGTCTTTATATTGATCAGTCCCCTAAACCCCCACTATTAAATTTGAAAATGTTAGATTTACATCCTGAAATAGAATGCTCTTTAATTATTCTGACTTGAGATATGGTTAGCCCATATTATTGGAAGATACAAAACCTGAATGGAAATGATAGTAAGCTGCACGTTAATTTTATCAAGTCTTAAATGTGCCATCAGAAGGCAGTATACTGATAAAGTCTTCCACCATTATTGGAACAAAGTCTGTTTAGCTGGATCTGACCTGTATGGTTGCTCAATAATGCTGATCGATAGTTTCCTTGTTAGTAGGGGGTTAAACATCTTCATACTCTTGCATAGTGCAGAAGTGAAATGATACCTCTTTGAAGTAATTCATTGTTAAAGCATATTTTTACTGGCTGGATACTCCTGAAAATAACAGCAATTCATGTGCAGACTTCATCCCGCTTAAACTTAAATTTGGTAGTTATGGTTGTCTGTTGATGGAAGGAAATTAGCATTACCAAAACAAGAGACTAGCAGATTTGCTGCTTGTCCACACCCTACATCCCTGATGCGGTTTCCTAAACCTCTAAAGCTGTATTACATTCCTGTCATGTTTCTAACACTGGACCCCTTGAAGTACTATGCCCAAGCTTATCTTGATTCTTGACAGAGTTATTTTGAGCTTCTGTACCCTTTGCATGGAAACCATAAATAGTTCCCTTTTGTTTGTCTGCTTAACCCTTAAAGATTTTTGCTATAATCGCAATCCTTAAAACATGTAAAGCAAACACGAATAATAAAGACAATGATTAGAATAAATAAGAACCTTACTTAGCAGAGAAATGATGAATTGTGTTCCTTGTTGAAGATAAGAAAGTTCAACAAGTGGGGTGGAAAGTTATTTATTCTAAATATTGCTAGATGTATGCTAATGTATGCCTAGTAACTCGCCGTTCTGTACCTAGTTAAAAAATACTTAATTCCATTTATGGAGGGACTGTAATGGTTAACTGGGAATACTTTGTAATGGAACTGTTCTTTATTTATGTCGTTAAATGATTTAAATTTGAATATTCTGTCTCACTTATATCGTGGTGCAAACATGCAGTGTCATATAAAACCTTCTCTTGTATCAGCTTATAGAACTTTCTCCATTGGTTTATATTGTGGTAAAGTATCCCCTGAATTTGAGGTTTTAACAAGATGGTTCATGTGGATGCTGGCAAGTTCTTTTAGTGTAACAGGAGCTCCAAAGCTGTAAGTTGTAACTCATGGATGTTTGATTCCCTTCAGTGTGGTTTATTCCGAGATAACTGAAGCGATGCAATTTTCTATGATTGATGGAAGTGGAAGTTCAACAAATGAGGGAGGCTTAGCTACCTGGTGTAGGGGTGTGATACCATGTTTAAGGCAGCTAAGCTACTATAATTCCACATTTAATGCATTCATCCTGAAGAGGTCAGTGTACGTTATTTTCCGCATGCTCTCTTTTACATCTTAACTTTGTGTGGTAGTGCCATAGCTCCCTATTCATCAAGCTTTGCACATTCTACCCTTATATATGTAATGATTTTTTTGAGTAATTCTAGTCATTGCTGAATAACTTATCGCCTTATCTAGGACTTCCTCCTTTTTTCCCCAAAAAAATAAAATTGAGTGCTATTCATTTGTTTTTGTTGCTTTTTCCCGGTTATGTGTCCTATCCTTGTAAATTATTCAAAACTTGTGATGTGAAGGAAAAGGGTAGTCATTCATCTTGGATTCCATTCATTGTTTTTGGAAAAAATTGAAAATATAGGATAAATGGAAACATCAACAGCACGAAAAGTGTGGTTGGAACTTTTGAATTCATTGATTGATGATATCTTTTGGTCAATTATAGTCACCTCTCAGGTATAGTATTGACCTTTGGGACTACGAATTGGTTCACTAGAATAAAGATTGGGGACAAATGTGACGTGTCTGTATATATCAAAAGAAAAAAAGTGATCTGATTTGTCCAAAGCTGTTGAAAGGCAAATAATAGCTCTTTGAACCCAAAAAAAAAAAAAAAACACTGTAAAAGGAAAAGCACATAACCTTCACATGCTTTCAATATCATACTATAAAGCTTTGTTTTTCTCGTCACCCCTTTTCAGAAGGATAAACAGTGACTTCCTCATCAGTGTGACCACATTGTGAAAGCTCCCCTTCCTTTCAAGTGTTGCCCTGGTTGGAACAACTCTGTATTCTCCCCAACATAACCCATAATCAAGAGAATTGTTGAACTAAGTTGTGGGAACTCTTCACTTTCGATGCCGCACCCATGTCGGATTCTCCAAAAATAGTGTATTTTTGGGGAATATGACATGCACCCAATTGACTTTTTTGAAGAATCCGAGCAACATAGTTGTTGAGTAGTTAATCAAACAATAATGTCCTAATTCTATCTAAGTGTGATTTGCAGTATATTTCTCTGTATCCATTCCGCTCAGTTCAGGTTCAATATCACGGTTCAACTATTTTTACGATGATTGTAATAAGCCTATTAATAGATAAAAGATTAACTTCCATTTGCTTGTTGCTGCATATTTTAGATTTTCATTTCCACTGAAAGCATTTGCATATACAATATTTGTTAGCATTATGAAGAAACGAGCAAAAGAATAAAGGTGAATCAAATAAAGCATTGGCCTTTCTGCATAAGGAAATTCTAGGATGCATTTGAATCTGACGTCAACAGCGTAGATGGAGGTAGCGGGCTTCTGGTTTCGTTACTACTTGTGGATTTGGCAATTGGAGGAGACTGCAAAGAAACTGACGATGGATTTGAAGGAGTCGTCTTATTCGAGCTACTCTCAGGTTTCTTGTTGTTTGATGGATTTGAAGATGTAGTCGGCTTATTCGAGCTGCTCTGAGGTTTCTTCTTGTCCCCTTCACCCGATGGATTCGAAGACGGAGTCTGGTTATTCAAGCTGCTCTGAGGTTTCTTCTTGTCCCCTTCACCTGATGGATTCAAAGACGGAGTCTGGTTATTCAAGCTGCTCTGAGGTTTCTTGCTGTTTCCTTCACTTGCCTTGTCCTCCATCCGATGGTGGCGAACTTTGGTAGACTTTAAGCTCATTGGAACAATACAATGGCAAACGAAACCTACACACACCAACAATTACCAAGTTATTAAATTTCTCATATCAACAAGTTGCAGAACACTAACTATTCAAACTTGAGAACTTTATAACCCCTTCAATGACTGCAACAAGCTCATGTTGAAGATCCCTATCGTGTTAAAGGCTGCGAAAAACTTTCAACGCAGCCACTGAACTCGGTAGGAATCTTCTGCAATGACTGCAAAAATTCATTGTCAAGAACAAACATTGAGACTTCTATAAAACTACCCAGAAGCTTCCTGATTCAACATGTCTAGAAAACAAGGTATTCTCTCCGTCCCAGTCCCAATTTATGTGACACTCAACTCTTCAAAGTGTTTGAATTTTGACCAAACATTTTAAAATGTATTTTCCGAATATTCAAACATGCGAAACAATAAATCTGACTGAAAATCTTACCAATTCTTGCTAGTCGATTAACCCAACTGGGAATTGGATTGTTAGTGAGTTTAACACAAGCATCACTACAGAAATGGTTACAATTCTTAGTAATAAGATTGTAAGCATTTCCTTTATACTTATCAGCAAGTTCTTCCATAACTCTTCTTACTTCTCTAGGTGTCTTCTCCGTCCATCCGATCAAAATTGTCTTCCTGAAAATAAATCCTTCACACTTTTTCGGCTCCCCTTCGAAAATTCCAGTACTTGGATACTCATGAGCTCCAAATGCATACTCAACTCCATGAACTAGCTACCATAACCCACCACCATCAACAAATAATTAGTATAAACTTTGCTACAGTTAATTAAGAAAAAACCAGATCTAAAAAACAATGAAAAATTTGAAGATTGAGTAACTGACCTTGAACGCCGGAATGGTAAACTCCGAGACCCAGCCAATACGCATAACCATTCATCGGAGTTAGATCGTATACGTTTAAGTACACCGGAACCGATCCACGGCCATTTTTAACTGAATTTTTGCAGCAGAGCATCTTGAAATAAAAACAGAGGAACTTTTCAGGTTCCTCGCATAGTGAAGATGTAAAGAAAGAGAATTCTGAATTTTCCGATTGATTGAGTTGTATTGAATTTCAGGTATATGTGGGCAGTACTTGGTAGGTAAATGAAAGAGGAAATGTGGGTCCTCTTATTTTGGAGTTGGCGGTGGAGTGGGGACTGAGGGTACCACCGGCGGCGATACAGTGGCCGTACCGGTAGGTATAAAAGGAGGAGAAGAGATTAGTTGGAAAATTGGAATCTTTCAGCTGAAGAGTGTATTATAATGGTGGCTGAGAGTGTATTGTGGAATGATGATCTGTGATTTCTCTTCTATTTTAAACTGATTTCTGCTTTTCTGCACTGTGGACTCTGCACTCTATCCAAATTTTTATAAAGAAAATTATTGGTCGGCATTTTAGATAATTTTTTGAGTTTTTTTTTTTTTAAATAGTACTACCTCCGTCCGGTTTTATTTGTCACGTTGCGTTTTTCAAAAGTCAATTTAACCAATTTTTATAGTTAAATTAGATTACATTAATTTGACATTTTAAACAAAAAATTTAGATATTCAAAAACTATACGTACTATAATTTGCATTTTTTAGGCATATCAATATGATAAAAAAAATATACATTATAAAATATTAGTCAAATTTTTTATAGTTTGACTTTAAAAAGAAAAATTATTACAATTAAAATTGGACGAAGGAAGTATTATGGATGAATCATTGATAGGATTTAGTGGTCAATGAAATGGTTTAAAATCTATAGGTAAATAGGTGTGCTTTAACGTTAAAAAAAGAAGAAGTTGTTTTAGGAGTTAGTATTATGTTCTTTATATTAAACAATTGAAAAAGAAATTTTGAAAAAATAGTTTATATTCTTAAATAGTACTAAGTGTAGTTAGCCTCTTGAAAAAAATAATTTGAATCTTCAAAATTTGTTTAAAACTTTCAAAGGTCATATTAATTGTAGGGGAAAAATGGAAAAAATTAATTAATTCTATCCTGATTTAGTAAGTGATCAAGTAATATGTGAAAAAATATTTTCTAGTGAGATCTTCATCTAATATGAGACGGAGGGAGTATCTTTATATTTCACTTGAAGTTCATTAATAAGTATAACTACTAGTAAATTTTCATAGCCAAACAAGTACTCCCTTTGTCCCTATGTTCATTTTTTTCTTGACACACTTATTAAGATAATAATAATTGATATAGTGAGTTTACCATTTTATCCTATTAGTTGATATAATTTCAAAATCAATTTACTCATTAAAAAGGTTCTACTTTTTCAAATATTACTTAACTCTCTAAATAAATTAACGATATAATATGTAAAAAAAAACAAAAAAATTCTTGATTTATCAAAAATAACAATTAAAAAATCAAAAATCAATCGGTAAAAAGGGACAAAGGAGTCTTAATGAAACAAACCAAGTAACACCCTTGTAACTTGTAAGTTCCATAATTCTACTATAATTATTTCTTTTGTAATCTTACAACTACTTATTAGTACTCATTGCATCTCAAATAGTAAAAATGTTGTATAAGTCCTATTTGATTTACCCTATAATATAGTTATGTCAATATGACAAAGAAAACACATGTAGTTTTCTAACATTGTCGATTAGTTTACACTCTGTCGTTTTCTACCAAGAAATTTAAGGAGAATGCAACATATTCGTCCCTGTCTCCTTGTATTCCTTTTCTTTGATTCTTTTTCTCCCTTTTTCCTTTATCATACATAAATAATTAACAGATACAAAAAAAAAAATCATCATTCTTAATCAACTTTAGAGAGGCCAATTATGTCTCTAACTGCCCTTTCTAGCACCTAGCCTACCTTATTTTAAAAACATTAGGTGGTTAATTAATTATTATCCAATTTACAACTAAAATGACTTTCAAGAAAAATATAAAATTGTGTGTAGAATGATACTTGTACTATTTGATTTTGATCTCAAAATCCATAAGATATGTTTGTGATTAATCCTTTTAATAATCTCTGATTTTTTTTTTTGTTTAAACATCTTTGTCAAGAAGACACATTGATTGAAAACAAAGAACATGGATTGTTTTTTGATAAGTACCTTTATATAATTCGTGTCTTGAAGAATAATTATCAATCGGTACCTGCTTTTGACTTGCTTAATGTGAATTTATGACAAATTAAAATTTTGATTCTCACAAATTTTACACGAAATTCTTTTACTACGTAGTTGTTTGGTATAATGAAAACATAAATATTCTATTAGTATCAAAGGAAGAAGATAATATTGTCAGATTAAGAGAAATGAGTGAGATACCACATAAGAATTGTGGTGGAGTGATAAGTATTTTTTCATTTTTAACCAGAGGTTTCATATTCGAGTCATCTTGGATACATAGTCGCCTTTGTTAGGGAACGCTTAACCTTCAATGTGGAACTTCTCGATGTGAATTCGAATTTAGTTGAGTTCCAATACAAATACGAGACGAAAAAATAAGAAAAAAGAAATGAGCTAGATTTTCCAAGAAAGTCAAGTGCTTTCTGTTTAGAACCTAAGATTAGTCTTCTTTACCTTTACTTAATATATATCTCAAGTAGAAAATATTTAATTTATATATTGGTATTTAAATTATAATTAATGCAACCACATTTGGTTCTCATTTGTCTCTGGGAAACCAAGAATGATGAATTAAATCAAGTCAAACAAAAACGCAAAGGGAGATAAGATATTTTGTAAAGCATGCTTAGCTTTGGCCTTTGGGGGCATGTATTTTGAATAAATATAGGGTCAAATATTAAAGATCCCTTAGAATAACGCACAAGACAAATTGGGCTTGAATTATAAACCCAAAATACAATTGATTATTTTCTTCAATTCTAACTTATATAATTGGTATATATACTGCTCTTTCAACACGTACGTTGCGTCAAGGTATTATATAATTTTGTATCATGAAATCTTGAGTAAAATATTATATATAAAAGAGTGAGTTTTTTATGAATGATTAATTAATGTGGATGATCATCGTATGATGACTTGTTTGTCGAGGTCAAGATGATTGGATCTAGTTTGAACATGTGAATGTGAACTATAATTAAAGTTTATTTCAAATGACATTTTAAAACGTTTCATGTGAAATCTTTAAAAAGGAACACTTAAATGTGTGAGTATTTGATTTCATTACTATTATCTTTGAGATAAGTGTCAAAAACACACTTAAACTATACCATTTTTTTGAGTTTCATACCTAAACTATTGAGAGTGTGAGTTTCATACCTAAACTATCATTTTTTAGTTTGAGAAACCCACCTATATTTGTTATATCACTCTCATCATGGTGTGTGTAATACACTCCCTCTTTTATTTTAAAAAATTATCACATCACACTCCATATGGACAAAATATTTAACTTTGACAAAAATTAAATAAATTATTAGTATTAGTTAAAATTTAAAATTTAAAAATTATTATCCAAAAAAATAATATTTCTTTTATAAAATAAAATGAAAAATATTTTTCTCACCCCCTCCCCCCACCCCCGGGCATTTTTTTTTTGTTTAAATTTCTTTTATAAAAGTACTTTTTTTTACTTCATCTCCTCTCCCTCCCCCCTTTTCAAATACTAATTTAGATATTATTTTATTTTTTTAAAAAAATAATTCTACTCTCCCCACATAACCCTCCGCTTCCAATTTTTTTCTCATTTAGTGTTAAATATGTACATATCGAAAATATTTTTTACTTGCCACAGCAAGACTTTTTTTATGTTTTAATTTATTTATGTTATATTCGTACACTAGTAAAAAAAAATCTAAAAATATATGTACATACATATTTAACACAAAATGAGAAAAATGTAAAAACAATAATAATAATAAGGACCGGAGGGTTAGAATGGGGTAGAATTTTTATTTTTTATAAAATAAAAAAATATCAACTTTTTTTTGGGGGTACGTAGAGGAGGTGGTGGAGTGGGTAAAAATTTTTTTTTTTTTTTTTTTTATGGATAGTAATACTTTAATATTTAATTTTTAATTAATATTAACAGTTTATTATTTAATTTTTATCAAGGTGAAATATTTTATCAATGTGGAATGTTATGTGTCAAGGTTTTTTCAAAATAAAAGAGAGAGTGCATTACACACACCACTGGGGTGTGTTTCGCAAACTAAAAAATGATAGTTTAGGTATGAAACTCAAAAAAATGGGATAGTTTAGATGTGTTTTTGACATTTATCTCATTATGTTTCCTTATGTCTGAAATTCAATACGCCAAGTTATCCTAATGCAATGAGTAAAATGAACTTTCTCCATTTTTACGTCAATACATGAAGAACAAAAACAAAATTGGTAGCACTGATTGCAGGTAGATTTTAAGAAATGGCTGAACTAGGATACCGCAAGGGTTCATTCGTTAAAAAACTATATATATATATATATATATATATATATATATATATATATATATATATATAGATGCATACATTAGGGGTGACAATTGGACGGGTTGGGTCAAATTTGGACGGATCATAATGGGCTAAGATAACAATCGAATCAAGACTTAACCTAACCTAAATTTGCTTGGGTCAAAATGGATTAGGAATGGGTTACATTACGGGTCAAGACCCAACCCAACCCAACTTTTTACTAAGCTTAATTGTTTTATTTATTCTTTTAAACTATTTTAGTACTTGATAAAATTAATTTTTTCTTTTTTAAGGCTATAAATGACATATCAAATTGAAAAAAAATTATTAAAAATATTTCGACAAGATTTTTCATGAGCCAATTTAGGTTACATATTAATCCTATTTTTAATTAGACATGGATTGGATTGAAATGGATTGAGCTAATAAATAGGCGGGTCAATAACCCGTCCAAATTTAAACGGATTGGACGGGTTGAATTTGATTTTACCTCCCCTAATATATGTTAATGAACATTTCGCTCAAGCTTGAACTAAATTGTAATATTCCCCATCCTGCCGTTTTTAAGTGATGTTTTAGTTTTTCAATTTTGTTTCTAAGTAAGTGATATTTTAGATTACAAAGAAGATATAATAACGTTCTTCCAATTTTATCCTTCTTTAAATAAAGAAAGTTTTGCTAAAAAGTTACTATACATTTTTTTCAAGATATTTATTTATTATGGGTAAGTTAATAAAAACATTTTTTTTATTTTTTTAGAAACAAGTAATTTCTTAAATGGTGTCACATCCTGTGACCAAACTAAAAATATCACTTGTTTATTTACTGCAGAAACGAAAAATAATACTAATAATAACAAAAAAAGGCTCAGGTACAAGTAGTTGTTTAATACACAATTATGGAGGAACCTATTTCTATAGTTCTCTGTATTTTCAGTGACCCACCAACCCTACACCATGCATGCATAATGTCGTTGGGCTTTCACCTTCATTGATATTCTACATTTTTATTTTTTTAATCGGTTAAAAAAGAAAGAAAAAAAAGGGCGGATATTTTAAATTTTTGAAATAATTAATGTTATATTTTTCATTTTTTGTTATTCATGAGAAATTTTATAACCTCAGAATTGTTATGACATATTTAAGGTCATATATTTCAAATGTTTTATAGCTACGTAAATATTTTTCTTGAAAAAATCACAATATCTGTCCTTTGGGTTTAGCACTTTATGATTATCTGTTCACTATGCAATAACTCGCAAATCACACAGAAATTGTAGATTGCATTAGACAAGCCTCATGCAATGAGCTCATGACTGAGTAGCAGATGGAGGATGATTTCGATCTCTGGTGGAGACCCACCTCTCAACCACACATCCACATAAATATTGTGATATGTTAAAAAAATGTACAAATTGAGCAGAGATTCGATCATCACACTCTTTACGCAAAACATATCTTCTGCTAGCTGATCATTGTACGAAGTTAGCGGAAATCGAGTATTTTTGTTTGTTCCTTTTGAGCTAAGATTAGTACTATATGAAACATGCCATAATTTACGTTTATCAAATTTGGATGAATCATAATCGGTCCCACCAATTTGTTTACAAAATTATGACATGCCCAAATTAAGGATCATTGTTGGTTTTTTCGAATTTTTTTTTTTTTTGAGTAGGGTCATTATGAAACTTCGTTTCCACATGACTCCACAAACATATTGATGATGACTTCTTAGTAGATGGGTCTATTTTTCATCTACCCTAAGGTGTATTATTTGAATGTAATAGTACAATTTGAAATACTTCATGGGAACATTCTCTGCCCACCATATGCATAATTGCATGTGGAATTATGCAACCTATCCTACTAGGAAAGTTAATAATTCATCAAAGTTCAAACAGTACGTATATTCAGTGACATGCGCATTCAAAGTCTCTATCTCATAAATGAAACAATGAGATTTTGACTCCAGTTTAATTTCCAGCGGAAAAGTGTTTCTTCTTTTGTGAACATTAAGGAAACATGCACTTTCTACTTGTTAACTCTATAATTTTAATGCAATATTTGAACATATATGAATGCTTTAACTTTGCATGTTTGCATTCTCTTGGCGGATTGCAGTGAACATAGACCATAGTATTTTACAATCCATCTATGCGTAGGTTAAATAATGAACGATTTTAATCACTTCAATAGCAACTTTAAAGAAAGAAATATATTTAAGCTCAAACAGAGTCGATCATACGTAATTCAGAAAATTTTTAATTACTACGACTACTAATACCAACAAAGTCTTAGAGTTTGAGAGACAAATCCAGCTTCTTCAAATCCTCTTGAGAACTAACCACTGTTGGAAACTTGTTCGTGTAACCGAAATTTAGCCTAGCAGCACCGTCACCGAACGATGTTCGATGACTTTCAGGGCGATCGATCGCCGGAAACTGATCCAGCCGCCTTCTCGACCGCATCCCAGCTGAATGTGTATTATATAATAAGGGTGAAATTGCGGGTGCCGTGAAGGTGTTCGACGACATGTTTGGCTTATGAATCATGGAGTGGGTTTGAATGCCAAGAGACCTATGCATAATAGGAACTGAAGCTATACTCTGCTTTCTCTTCGCCATTGTAATTATTCTCTCCCTTTTATGTGCGTTTTGATGGCCGCCAAGTGCTTGTGAACTGTAAAAATTTCTGTAGCAATAGTTACAGGAAAAAACCTGGTGCTCTGTTTCATCATCCTCCGAAGAGCTTATCGTGTGACAAGTATGATCACTGGTTTTGATTATTTGATCATCTGTAGGCTTCAATTCCCAGTTACAGAGGAGGCTTAGATCTAGAATGAGCCCATCATTTTCCTGTTTATCATCTTGTTGTCGTGGCGCTGATTGATTTTGGGAGTCCATTTCCTTGTAGTGCTACTTTAGGGAATTAGGTAGGGGGAGGAATTATAGGAAATGGTGGTTCAACTTTGGAAGGAAGTTACATGCATGTGGCATGATAATTTGATGTGGGAAACTTCATGTGGAGGTGGGGACAGGGGTGGGGGATTATCTGTTGGATTTTCAGTTTGGGTCGTGAGTCGTCCATGTGGACGTACAGAAAAAGATCATGCATGTGTATTGATAAGAAAGTTAGACCTGTAGTTACATGGGCTTATGGAAGAGGACACACTGATAATGAAAAGCAGAAAATTATCTTGAATTATGCTTTAGAGAATTAATATGAATGATGCATAGCTTATCTTAGATCAAAGCAGTAGTATAATATTGATACACCCTCTGTTCATAATTTCTTGTCCACTTTTGAATTGATATACCTATTAAGAAAACAATGATTGACATAGTGAGTTTAACATTTCATCTCAATTAATTATGAAGTGAATGAATTAAAAACTTAAGATTTTAAAAAAGTTTTACATTTTTCAAAGTAATTAATTGAGGGTATAATAGGTAAAAAAAAATTGTCCTTTCTTGATTTGTTAAAATAGACAAGTAATTAGAGATTACTAAAAAGAAAAAGTTGACAATTAATTAATTAGGAACATAGTAATATTCCTCGAAGTTGGAATAAATTAATATTATATTCCCTCTTATTAAACATTTTCAACTCTAAAAAGGAATAAAAGGGAAGAACGATGCTCAAGAGTCAAGAATCTATATTCATGGAATTGGACTATTGTGCATGTGTAACCATCTTGCATGATATTGTTGTGTTACATTCTACTATTCAAACCAAAAAATTGTAGCTGCCCCCACTTTCTCTTTCTTTGTCTTGTCAACATACACAATGTAGTGCTGGCAAATTCTAATTCAAATTTGTTTTGACTTATTCAATCTGCCCATTACCAACTTGTATTCAAAGCCGTCGGAGTTGTTTGGCGTGACAGATAAGTATAAATAGTCACGTGACAAAAAAAAAATAGTCTTGGAATAAAAATTTAATATTTTATTTGGTTGTCATGTTTGAGATAGCTTATCTCATCATTTATATCATAGTGATGAGATAACTTATCTCATATATATGGTGAGATAATTTGTTCCCAACCAAACGACCTACATGCTATTCTATCTGTTCTTATTTATATGTCATCTTTATTAAAAATATATGATATTTACTATTTGTTATTTCATAAATCAATGCATAAATGACACTATTTTTTCTATTTTATCCTTGAGAGTTATTAGCCTTGAAAGTATGAATTTGACCAACATATAAAAAATAAATATGATTAATTAATGTTAATTGGTCAATTGATTTATCAAAATAAATTAATTTATGTTCATTTATTAAGAACTTGACTTCAAGAGAATTCTACTCCCTCCGTTTCTTTTTATATGTCATCATTTTCTATAAATAGTTGGACCACAATACTTGTTATTTCATAAAATTAATGCATAAATTACCATATTATTCCTATTATACCCTTGATAGAGTAGTTAATTAGTCTTGAAAATATATATTTTGACCAACCTAGAAAAACTAATAAATAATTAATATTCATTGGAATATTTCATACATTGATTAATTACTCTTTCCATTCACTATTCTATAAAACTTGATTTTAAAAATAAACTCAAAACTTTAAATAGTCATCCAAATGCATTTTAATTTTTGAAATCAAGCATATTCATCATTTATTGAAAAGTTGACTTAAGAAAAAAAAAAGGGTAAAAGGGTAAAATTACTTAATTTCTTAATGCATGTGCAATCTAAAAATGTGACATATAAAAAGGAACTGAGGGAGTAAATAATAGAATAATGATAAACTTACATAATTTCTTAAAAAACGTGAAATCTAAAATAGGGAATAATATAGTATGTTCTTAATTAATTAATTACTATGTAATTATTACTTTCACAATATATGTATGTTTGTTGTCTTACGTACGAAAATATTTGGAGAAAGACAAATGGCCGACAATTATATGGGTATATGTGATAAAAAAGGGACCCCGTAATGTGTGAATTATGTTATTTGGTACTTGGGATAACAATTTCTAAATTCGCATTTAGTTTTGAGTATTAGTCGAGATTATTTTATTTTAATATTTATATTAGAATGGCGAAATTAGTTATTCCATATAAAATATAAAAAAAAATACTAGTTTTATGATATATATATATATCCTTGTCTCTCTCATGATCTCATTTCGCATATCAAACTATCGCTATGGTAGTATCGGGGTGTCCAGGAGCGTATACAGGAGGGGTTCACCGGGTTTACGTGAATCCATGGTCCCCTCCCAAAATCATATATAGTAGTGTTATATTTTTAAAAAATATTTAAATATAGATGCGTGAACCCAGACTCGAAGTATCATATAATGTACTACGATGATGATTGGTGCACCTCTCTAGGTGAGGTTTGAAATTTGAATCTTTTATCTATCTTGTTTTAGTTTTCTTTTTAAGATTTGTAACTGGTTGGGATAAGTAAAAGTTAATTTTGGACCTATGATTTTAAAACTTTAATGGTTTTCAGTAAAAGAATCTAACTGGTCAAATTTATGTCTTAGATCCACCTTTTTGTAATAGTGCACCCATTAGCTATAAATGCTGAATACGCCTCTGGCGGGTGTCCAGTTGGACATCCTTCGTAAAAAAATTACAATATATATATTGGTTAAATCTTACTGTATATTGATATATATGTGTAATTTTGGACACCCTTACCACCAATAGATTCCGGTAGTGCAATGGCAATGCGTTGCTCAAAACTTACACGATGCCCAGATTTGAATTTATGTGTCCACGCATTTTTTAAACCTAAAAAAAAATAATTGAATTTACTATCTAAAGTTTGAACACCCTTCTTGAAATTTTTAGTTATGCCACTGATCCTATGACACTAGATAATTCATAAAAAAATAAAAATAATATGATCCTATATTAGTTTTTGTCGAATGCACAAGTAAATTATAAAGCAAGTCTGTGTCAAGAGTGGGTTTCCTTTGTCTAATCATAGCATATATTGGATTAGAGACATCCACATCTCTAAATTGGTTTAGAATTTCATTATCTATATATTTTTGTCAAAAATTAAATGCTTGCAATGAAAGAGATAACAACTCCAGTTTTGTATTTTATGGATGGATCTTATCAGCTTCCAAATATATCTCTTTATAATAAGTACTCTAACACTTATTTTTTATGAGAGTTTTGTTTTCTTTTTTTTAGCATGTGCTCAACATTTTTTTAGCATCTTGATAAGATGTGAACATTTGACCAACCATATAATTTTGAGGAGTTTCTTTCAATGACTCTTGAATTGCTAGTTTTTCAGCAGTTTTGGCCATCTCTAATGCACCAAACATTTGACGTTTAAAAATGACGTTGCAAATTTTGAATTTGTGTAATTAGTTCCCGAATCTATCTATCGTGCAATTAATTTTCTTTCATTAACTAAATTCTTAAAAAAGAAACTCATGAACAAATAGTTAGCGCCTTGGATAGATACTTTGCAAATAAATGGAGAAAACATTTGGGCCTGTGGTGGTTGGCCCAATAGGTTCTTACCAATATCACATTTGCACTTTTTACCCTACATGAGTTTTTATGTTAGGACATGACTTCAAAACTAATGCCCAATCATGCATAGGTTTGATAATTAGCTAGAAAGAAATTAAAGATCAATCCACTTAAAGAACAACAATTAAAAATCAGTCCATTTGAAAGGGAAAACATGCAATCTTACCATTTCATAATCATGTGGCGTAGGTCGTGGGAGATTGCACAAATAACCAATTTCAAGATCCCTATTTAAAGAATAGTTAAGATTGATGGAAAAAAAAGTTAATCATCTTAGAATTACCTTTAACTATCTAGTAGTTGAATCGTAAATTTAAAGTTTCACACTTCAGGTTTGAAATGAAACTTTGCCAAATCCTAAACTTAAGACATTGAATTCAGTTCAACTCAAACATTTGGTATGAAAGTCTAACTTCATAGTTGAGGGTTTGAGTTGACTTGAATGATTGAAGTTCAGCCACATATATATAGTTGAAGTAAGAAGTTCAACCATTTTTGCTTTACTTCAATTATTCTGAGATCGAAATTCAGTCATTTTTTTTCTAGTTCCGATTAAATTTTTTAGTCTAACTTTAGTCATATGTATCTTTAGTTCAACCATGTTTACCTGCTTTTAACCATTTCTATTCAGAGTTTATGTACATATAGATGAAGTTCAAACAAAAATGATTGAAATTCAACCATTTTTGCCTAAAGTTTTACTCATGTAATTTTAATTTTTTTTTGTGTGAAGTTTAGTTTTATCAAACCTAACTTTAGACGCCACATATTCAAAATGGATACAAATAAAAAAGAGGTATCAAAACGGGCTACCCATGGAATAGTTTGACCTTATGGACTCCTATTCCAATTTCCAAAGGCCCAATAATAAAAAATTGTCTCCAGCAACCCAAATTGAAATCCAAAACCCTACTAAAACCTTCGTCAGCTCAACCTCTTCGCCCCTCTGAATATTTCCGGTGAAATTCTCGCCGTCACTTTCGCCGGCGTAATTGATATGTAAGTTTCATTCTCTATTTGTCACTTTCTCTGTATTTATTTCGCTCTCTCGCCAAATTTTAAATCTTTCATGATATCAAAACCTTAACTTTTTCCTGGAATTTTAATGTTAAAACGGAAATTTTACTGTTAATAGACTAATGTGTTCCCCATGTGATGATGACTTTAAATATTGGCTGGTGTGTACTTTAGTAGTATTGAGCTCATGTCTACATAAAAAAATGCATTTTTTGTTGGTAAAATTATGTGATAAGAGGAGGACTGTAGTGGGCTTGAAAGAGCAGCATGGTTTCTAACTTTGCTTATTGCTTCTCTCAGAGATAGTGTTGCTGATTATGGCGGATGAGGTGCCACAGCCTCTGAATTATATACCAGAAGTGATTCTGAAGAAGAGGAAGAACAATGAAGAATGGGCAATCAGAAGAAAACTCCAACTGGAACAGAAAGTCAGAAAGCTCAAATCTGATAGTTTTGTCATCAAGAAGCCCGAGCAGTTTATTCGAGAGTATAGAGATAAGGTATTTGATTAACTAAAGTTGTTGTTTAAATTGCATCAATGGTTACTTTGTTCGAGTGTAGGATCTTTCTTCACATTTTTTTTATAGTATAAAAGGTGAATTTTGAACTTCTAATAAGTCCTATTCCTTCTGAGGACACTGGTTAATTCTTCATAGAAAAGTTGGTCATGTGCTATCCCTAGCTATTGTCTTCAACTTCTTTTTCCTTTTTTTTTTCTATCCAATTAGCTTCAGCATTTGCTGTCCCTTCTCAATGAGTGTATATTTTATTTGTTCTCTATCCCCATTTGATTCCTTTTTTGGGTATTCTGCTATAGTTAAATGACATCGATAAGTCATTTGATGCATATGCTTTAGGTATGATATATACTTTAGTTAACCTATCCTTAATTTGGTGTCTGTGGCAAAGACTAATCCCAAGCTTCCAAGAGTGTAGACTAGTTGTCAATGAAGTGAGCAAGAGCCATGAGGCTTCAAGTTCAAATCTTTTTTTTTGAAATTAGTAATGTTGTATTCCTCAGCATTAAGGCTATGCTGGTGACCTCCAAAAATTCGTACATAGAGGGGCTAGGAAGGCTAATTACAAAGATCCTAACATATTCTACATTCCGAATCTTAGTGGAGTCAAAAGATACTAGATGAGTTTTTCTCATCTGCACAAAGCCTTGGTCACCAGAGTTATGCGGTACCTTATGCTGGTGAGATGTAGCAGGTACCAGCCCAAACGCCACTGTCATTAAAAAAAATACTAATCTCAACTTGCCTTTCTATTTGACTGTGACTATTCAGCAAGTAATGTGAGTTGGGCAGGCAAAAACCTCTCTGTTGATATTGATATTCTACATTCCGAATCAATAAGACACAACAATATCTGTGCTTCTATAAAGTACAAGATTGTCCTTGGCAAGTTGTAAAATATAGAAGCAAAACATAAAACCTTCTTGGAGCAAACAAAGATGCTATAAGCAACACAGTCTTTAAGTGTGAAGTTTGAGGAGCATGAGTGAACGAACCTTTTCTTATGGGCTACAGACAAATCTCTCCAATTTTGTGGGGGCATATACTAGTGAGGAAAAGTAAATGTGTTGTACCCATCAGTGAAACAAACTCTCAAACAACAAGTTTTTAGGATATTATTGCAATATTTGAGCACAAAGTTTGCATGTGGCTAGTGGCTACTAAATTTCACTTTTCAAAAGACAAAAAGGTCCTGCCTTAGTTTATATCTAATCAAATTGCCTCTCACTAAACAAAATTGAACATTCTGAATGACACCAACATTGTATTGTTGCGTTTCAAGCCCAAGTCATGTAGATTGTTTGTTGTATATTGTACTTCAATCGTGTGTAGATTGCCTACGATCTTCTTATTTGCTTTGTTTCATTCAGGAGATGGACCTTGTCCAAATGAAACAAAGGGGAAAAAGAAGAGACAAGGGAGCACTGACTACGTCAGATTCCAAACTTCTATTTGTGATACGCATTGGAGGGTAAGTTCATTATTTTGTTATCACAGTTATACTCTTTTGGCTGGTTTGGCCTTCCTTAGGGTCCTAATATTTGTGATTCACTGCAGGAAAAGTGATATGCATCCAAGAACAAGAAAGGCTTTATACTCTTTGCGGTTGCGAAAAATCTTCAGTGGGGTCTTTGTAAAGGCAAATGAAAGAACAGTGGAGATTCTACAAAAGGTGGAGCCTTTTGTCACATATGGGTATGTATACTTAATTTATGATTGCTGCAATGGTGTTCGCTCAGTTCATCTCCTTACTGGATATCCTTGAATTACACTTACCTCTTATCAATTAATACCAGACCTTATGCTTGCTGGGAGGGATGACCTTTTCAACGTTTTTTCCTAATTTCACCCTGGTCACATTTACTACTTCATGTAACTTGATGATCTGCACCAGTAACTAAGTAGGGACCAGAACATAAGTTCAATTTATTTCCAAAAAATGCCCCCTCCATCTTCTGAAGGGGCTAATCACGTGGTTTATGTTGCATGATTTAGGCTCCACTCGAAAGTCTTTAATGTATATATGTCTCTTAATCATTGGGTTATGGTTTTTAATTCTCTGTGGTTAAAATGCATATTGCTTCAGTATAATACATATCCTAATTGGAAACCCATGCATGCCGTGCTAGCATTAGTTGTTAACGAGCAAATTTCTAGTAAATACTGTGAATACAAGGTGGAACAAATACAAGAAGTGCCAATTTTAATGATTAAATAAAATAAAATTATTTTGCCATAGAGGAAGATGCTGTGGGAACTATAATCTTAAGTTTCTGTAATTCATGCTATTGTTGTGAGTACCATCTTTTTTGAGGAAGACATTAAATTACCTCTTATCATTTCTTATTCTCTCATGGCCAACTATCCTAACTTCTATCCAGGTTAGAGCAGTCTTTACCTTGATTGGATTTTCTAACTAGTTATTCAGCTTTTGTATAGCTGTTTTCCCTATTCATTATCCCCATCTGTCTTCAATTTATGTGAATCTGTTTCCTCTTTAGTCGGTTTAAAAAAAGGAAGGCACCTTTCTAAATTTGGAAGCAATTTAATTTAAACTTCCCATTTTATCATTAATGAGAATCTTTTATAACCACACAGTTGTTATGATACATTTAAGACCACAAGTTTCAAACGTTTTATAACCGCACAAATGTTATGACATGTTTAAGATCACAAGGTCCAAAAGTCTACATTTCTTTCTTAACCTCCAAGTCCAGTAAAAAAGATACACCTAATTTGAAACAGATGGATAGTTATTTGTTCATGAGTATATGGTGGTTTTCCCCATTAAAAGAAGTAAAAGGTTCACTTTAACTTTTATCAAAAAAAGAAGTAAAAGGTTCTATCTTCAGTTTCTCTTTTTGATAGTCAAAGTTCTCCATGTAAAAGGGGAACATCAGAGTTTTGATCTCTTTAACCCATTGTATATCTGATCGAACACCACTACTTCATTTGGAGGTTGGGCGTTCTACTTTCCTATCATCTCTAAATGGATGTTCATCTTCCAGTCATGAGTTCTTGAAATTATGACATAAACAAGAAAGTTCTGCCATGCCATGTATTATGTAGCCGTAGGAGTCACATTCGTCCACCTTTACACTGGCTAAAGGGAGCTACTTTATACTTATAATGATGTGTAGTTTGTTTGTCGGGAACAACCTCTCTACCTTCACTAGGGATAAGGTTGCGTACACACCACTCTCCCCATGGCTCAATTGTGGGGTTACACTGGGTATGTTGTTGTTGTTACGATGTGTGGTTTGATGAGGACATTCAATTTGGATTAGTAGGAATTAGAGGCAGGACATACTGATCCTTATGATGCAAAACTAACGCATGTGATGCCAAACCGCCTTACCAACAATGTGCTTTTTTCTTTGAAGCTACCCCAATCTGAAGAGCGTGAAAGATCTGATTTACAAGAAAGGTTCTGGAAAAACCGACAATCAGAGAGTGCCTTTGACTAGCAATGACATTGTTGAACAGGTGCCTTTGTTTCCATTTTTTTTACCATCACATAACTACAATAGTTGAATTCACCACTCTTTGTTTTGTGAGCATTCCTGCATTGTCTCAACTACTTATTTTGGCAGACACTGGGCCAGTATGGCATTATATGCTTAGAGGACGTTGTGAGAGAGATTGCTAGTGTTGGTCCACACTTCAAGGAGGTCACTAGCTTTCTATGCCCCTTTGCTCTCACCAAGCCAGAGAAAGCTTTGCAGGGTAAGAAGAAACGATACAATGATGGTGGCGATTCAGGAAATCGTGAGGATCACATCAATGAGTTGATCTCTAAGATGAATTAAAATAGACACCCGGGTTTCCAGATCAAATTTTTGTTGAGTGTTATAATATAGTTTTGGTATGGGTTATTGTAAAAGATGGGAGCACTTTAATCACTATCCTTCCTCCGCCCATTCATGTCACGTATCTCACAAGCTTAGTAATTGGTTGCTGCTTATTTCTGTCTCAAGCCATTAAAAGTTATCATTGTATCTTCTTTCCGCTACTTAATCAGATATTTTCATACTGCTGAAGTTAAAACACCGAAAATGTACCTACTACATTATTATCAATGAAAAAAGAGCAGTTAAAAAAATCATGGAGGATTCGGAAGATGAGGTTTCTCTTCTAATTGATGGGGAAAAGTTAATTTCTATGTGCGAGTCCTTTTTTCCAACATGTGTTTGAATATTTAACCACGAATAAATTGAGGTGATTTGGCTGATGGCAGTGCATATGCCCCTCGTTGAGTCACTTGATATTCAGCTCATGGGGTTAGGAGAGGGAAGAATGTATACAAACCTTATTCTTACTTTGTGATGAGATGGAGAGGATATTTCTCAAAGATCCTAATCAAGTAACACATAATAAAGGCAGTTTGAACAAGACAGCTCAGAGGTAAAACTAGGCAAATCAAATAATAGAGGTACATAACATATCATACAAAGCAAAATGAAGCAATAAACGAAGCACAAGAAACTACACTATCTACCAACCAAGCTCTACCCCGAAAGAGAGCGAGACAACACTCAACTACCTTATAATAGTCTTCGATATTGTGGTGATGATGGTTGTGTTATTGAAAGATGAGGATGCAATGACCTGCCATTATTAACTCAAACCAGAAAAGCACGTCAAGAGTTCGTTAGTGTTACACTGGTAGAATTCCAAGGGGAGGCATTGAATTTTCATCCAACAACATAAACCAGCAACAACTGCGCTTGAATTTGTATGTCCTGCTTCAAACATCATAGAGATAGGTCCAAAGATTCATGAACTAGAAGTCTAAAGTGATTATCATTCACAACAAAATGTCAAACTGCAAGTTTGTCAAATGATGCTATCACTGCATAGACACACAAACAAAGCTAAAATGCAACAGATATATTCCTCCTTGTTTATGCTAGGATTACGATGATATCAGAACAGATATCTAAAGTTAACCAAGACCACCTCCCTCCGTCCCAGTACCATTTGTTTTCGACTCCAATGAACTGAATATCACAACATTGAACCAGTTCTCTATGAAGAAAGAATATTCGGTCCTGGTGTTCTCTTTTGTCACATAACCTACTTCAGATAAAGAAAAATGTCTAGCAACAGTATAGCATGAATGCAGGACAATAAGAATGAACCTTAACCATATTAAAGACAGTAAGAGCTTTAATGGATGCAGCAACTGAAACAACAATGGCACACGAATGTAGTTTTCTAGTAACACTTGAATTTAGCCAAAAGAAGGGTGATATCATAAATGAAGAGCAAACTCTCTTATCAGAAGTTTACATAGTGTGGCATCATAAGCACACACAAACACTAAAAGATCTATCTTTCTGTAGTTCACACATTTTTATTTTTTTTCCACATTTCTGTTCTTCAATGGACTCCATTCTCAACAACACCTAGACCATACAAGACACCGGCATACTTCTCAAGTGAGCCAATAAAGAAATTCTCTTTCAACTTCCTAAAAGTACAAGCTGTGAGCAAGCTATCCGAACCGGCCTGATGGCAGACACCAACTCTCTCAACCTCCAACAACTCTGCAAGCTTGTTCAATCCACCATGAAGGCTGTTGCAGAACTTCATCAAATGCTTAACATCATAAAGCACAGGAAAGTACATGTTGGTCAGATTGAAAAAACCTTCCTGAGTTTCAGGCAAGTCCTGGCATGTCAAGATCTTCAGCAAGTACCCAAAATCATAACCACTATGAAATGTAACCCAATACACATTATCATTCAGCACAATCCCTGAAGACATCAAAATCTCACCAAACCGCTTAGCGTCAATCCCATTTTCTATATTCTTCTTGAAATCAATACCACTCTGCCTCAACAATTCAATCGAGTCGTTAGCATAAACATCCTCATTCGGATTAAAATCACAGAAATTAAACTGCCAAATGCAGTACTTATCAGTTCCACACTTGGGCAAATTCCCATTTTCATCAGAAAACGTTAAACCCAACTGAATCAACTTCAACAAATCCACGTTATCCTTCAAGGTCTGGTAATGATAATCATTACTATTCTTAAAATTCCCAACCGGACGAAGAACAACTCCAGGAAACTCCGTATCCATAGCTATAAACGGATAATCATCAACGATTTCTCGAATCAAATCAAACTCTTCTTCCAGATTATCATTCCAAACTTCTCGAATGTGAATCGAGTCGCTTTTAGGCAAAAGCGACATTTCCCAGAAAAAACTTCTTCACCAAATCTCAAATCCTTTCTTGATAATCGTTAAATCCAAAACCAGATCTACAAAAAAAAGTTGAAAAAGAACCAAACTTTATCAACAAATGAAATAAAAACAGAAACCCCACATAAGATAAACCAATTATTTTCAAATCTTACCTTGTAATACATAAAGATTTGAACTTTCCAACATAAATCGATGATAAATAACTGGGAATTTCTAAACTTATGAAGACGATTTATGTAAGGCGGTGAATAAGGATAAGAACAAGAGATCTTTGTTTATATATATATATTCTTTTTTTGTTGAGCTTGTTCTAGATTGGGTACTGTTTGGCGTAAGGTGATAGGTTGGGTAGGGTGGGGACTGGGGCTTAGGGGTGTCCACCTCCTTCACAATCACAACTCCAAATCTCTGATTATAAATTCCAAAGACTTCTTATAATCTGAAATGGTTTTGTTATCTTTTCCATTTTTTCTGCATAAACAAAAGGCAACAACTTGATACAGAAGAAGACGAAGTAAATTCCCTTTTAATTAAATTGCAAAACACTGTTTTTTTTTAATTAATTTAATAATGGGGGACCAGCTTTTTGTCGGTTGGTGTTTAATATTAAATATTAAATGGATTTTTAAGATATTTCTTTTTTGGCTGAAGGGTTTTGGACTTTTGGTTGTTTTTTTTTTTTCTTTTTTTCTTTTTTTGGTTGATGAGTGTGAGAAAAGTGGGTTTATATAGGAGGGATGTGGTGAAAGGAATCGAAATGTGGGTTTGAGTAAAAGAATAAAAAGGCTTATTTTAATAACCACAAAATAGATCAAAACTGAAAAATAGTAAAAAGAAAATTTGGTGTAAAGCTATAACCATCATAGTCGATGTGATTAATGGAAATGGGCGTGTTGAATCTTTAGCCACATATGATCTTCGCTCTTTTATTTTAGATATCATCTATTATTATTTTTTTGCTTTCATCTTCAGAGTATCTCTGATTAAATTTGGATCGCACATTACATGATTCATTTAAAGGTGGTGCTCCCAAGACAATTTTCTCCACATTTAAGCTTGAATTCGAAATCTCCAATTAAGAGTAAACTTATTCCACCATTGCAGCACAAATCACATTAGATCTATTATTGACCAAGAAATTTTTTGCCATGTTGTAGAGAAGAATTTTAAATGTCTACCACCAGGGATGACTCAGTGCCTTAAAAAATGAGGGTCCCAATTTTTTAGTAATAATATAATTAATATAAGTCTTTTTTAACAAATACAATAATATACTATATTTTTTATTTTCTTTAAATTTATTTCGAAACATTAAAGAATGTTTCTTTTTCTGGGTCAATTTTAAAAATTAACTTTCACATGATATGTTTAAGATCACAAGATTAAAAAATATTTTGGTATATATATCTTTAGTTTAAGAACATCGAAAAAATAATTCAAAAAATATTAAAAAGAAAGAAATAGCTTTAAATATCAAAATTGAAAAAAAATAAAAAATTAGTTAAAAGTTAGATGTTTGGCTTTAGGCCACTAATTAGCTTGAGCCACCACTGTCTTACAACTCTTGAACATACAAGATACCGACATGAAAGAGTTAATAGTATTATTTGAATATATTAAGTTTATGAATTTTAAAATAATCTGCCACCAACTGTTGATATATACTATAATACTTGTATATTATAACACGTTATGAAAAGCAGTTAAAATCAAGTGTGGAGTATTCGTGTGATTGGTTAAGACCAAACATTATAGTATAAGATCTTGACAGCCTTTATTTGGGAAATTTTGTCCCTCGTATTTTAGTTTTTGAAATTTTCATCATCCTTCATTTGGGAAAATTTGTCCCTCATATTTTAGTTTCTGAATTTTTCAGATTGATATTCGTGGTAAGACTCAATTAATTTTGATATGCCCTAAATACACAAAATCTCGTTTCCTTAATAAAAAATGACTACGAGTATATGTATTTTTTCTCGCTTGTTATGTTTTTTTCATTTGTTTGCAAAAGCAATTCTTTTTCAATTATGAGACTTCAAAGCAATATAAATGTTTAATTTTCAACTCTCATCATATTAGATTTTAGTTTAACTTCTTAAAAAGAAAAATCAGCTTATTTTTGTAACTATAATAAGCCTTCTGAATATGAGCTTATTTATTATTTCTATAAGCTAAGCAATTATGTCTACCTACAGAGAAAATTAGATATGTGAATTTGGAAACATATATAACCAGTATCGTTTCCAAAACTGGAAGAGTTCATATCCTAATAGAGATCTTCATTATGAAGACAAACTGCTACATTGCAATTACCTACACAACTTCTGAGGCAGCTGAGACAAAAGAGGATGTGAAATCAGAGACGAGAATGAGGGAAAAAAGAACGCCGTAATTTATCTCATGTGAATTGTCATGTAGGAGGAATGTATCTCACATGAATCATTATGTAGGACGAATTTATCTCACATGAATTGTCAGGTAGTATGAGTGCATCTCATGTGAATATAGGACGAGTGCAATTCATGTGAATTGTTATGTAAGACGAGTACGTATCTCACATGAATTGTTGTGTAGGATCAGTATCTCAGGTGAATTGTCATATAGGACGAGTGTAATTCATGTGAATTGATATATAAGACGAGTGTATCTAACATGAATTGC